CAATTCAATTGGGCGTTTTTGTTACCATTACAGCAAAAAACTTTGAATGTATGACCCTTTTTCTTTCTTTTCTTAGTATGTTTTCAATTTACGTGTGAAAGATGATAACTTTTCCTCTTGGGGGTGTTTGTTTGCTTAGAAAGACGTGAAGAAGATAATAATTGACTAGGATGTGATACAAAGTTTGTTTCTTGAAGTCTATTTTCTTATCAAATTTAGTTAGGTTTGGAAACACTGTTTAATTGGCACAATTGGGTTTTGGGCATTTGTTTGTTTTGATAAGGTTTGGATCTTTAATCCTATTGATTTCAAGTATAGTGGAAAAGGATTTTTTTAAAAAAAGAAAAAAAAAGAAAAGAAAAGAAAAGAGGAAGATGGCTCAACTTTGCTCCATGGGTTTTAGATTTTTGTTTCTATTTTAAAACTGATTTTATAGATAATTTAATCACAATCTATGTCCAATTTTCTACTATTGTAATTATTACTTTAATGGAATTTGTTTGCTACTTACCTATCCTTTTGTTTAGTTGTTGGTGCTTTTTCAAAGTTATTTCTAGTCTGTTCGAACCCAATTGCTTTTTTCCTTCACATTTCTTTTTAAAGTTTCATGTGTGATGAGAAAAAAGTACATTATCACTTTTTTTTTTTTCCTAAATTATAGTTATTATATAACACTTTGCATTTTTCCTTTTCTTGGAATGGGGAAGGGAGCAAATTGTGTGATATTAAGCTTTTCTTATTATTCAGTTACTTTTATTGGTTTCCTCTCTTAGTAACTCTTATTGAATTGTTATCTTCCTTTTCTACATAGAAATTACTAGGAGTTTTAACCCATTTGTCAATCTTCTAATTGGAGACTAGGTGATTTAATCTATCTTTTACTTTTGTTTGGTGATGAAATGTTTTAGGAGAAGGATATATATATATATATATATATAGCTTGACATGGTACATGAATTAATATAAGTTCCCACTCCTCACATGGACTTCCATTTATAATGACTCTGCATTTTAGTCATGTATAGAGAAGTGTGAGATATTAATGACGTAATTTTGTGCACTCAAGAGGCAGTTCAACTTCTTAAGGATGGGATTGAGTTGGTAATTGATTCAAACAAAGTGCTCTCAAAATTGTTTTCTGAGGTCTCATCCGAGTTGTTAGCTGCATATGACAGTGGCGAACACCTTAGTGCCCTAGAGGAAGGCCATTTTTGTTGGCAGAAGTGGGTAAAGAATTTTAAAAAAGCAATGAGGCTGCATATGATAGGTTATTATTTTTTGTACAACTCGGATGGTAACATCACTCATGTATCTACTTCTCCTGAAAATGAAAATGAATGCAAGGGAGATGCATTCTAGAAAGGCTCAGCTCTATCGAACTCGTGGTTTGCCTCACTTGTACAATTATTGTAGTTAACCAGACTTTGAGCCAACTAGTGTTAAATGGCACACTGCTAGTTCCGAGAGATAGCCACACTTACACAAATGTTGGTGACAATTTGTATGTGTTTGGGGGTACTGATTGGATGAACCCTCTCAAAGATCTACATATCGCAGATACTTGTGAGTGATCCTATCCTTAATTTCTTGTGACTAAAATGATGATGCCACTGAAAGTTCCATTTTTGAATAGTAAAAAAAAGGTTTGTAAGACAAAAAGGTAGGATTTTTATGTTATATACAAATTTGCTTCACTAAGCCAATAAAGAAGAGTGTGAACTGTGATGTGAATAATTAAGATAGCAGAAAAAGATACGTGGACGTATCCTTGCATGCATCAGCATTCCATTCAGATCATACCATTTTTGGTGTACATCAATATCAATCACCCGCCCCCTTTAACTTAAAAACTTCATTTAATTAAACACGCAATCCATCAATCATCTATACTCAATTTCAGATAGCTTCAACCAACATTCCTAGATATATTACAAATAATTCAGATTTTTATATGCATAGACCATATACATTGTTGACACGTTTCTTTCATTTGTTAGCCAGGAAGATTTAGGGTACGTAGGAGACGAGTTCTGCTCTTGAAGTGATATATCCATTCTTGTAGAAAACCAAATGATTCAATCATTCAAGAGTGCAAAGTCTTTGAAGATAGTCTAGAAGACACTACAGGCTAGAGATCCATGTCTGACATCAAATGGTGTAAATTGGTTTTACTTCTAAAGACATCAGGGACTGGCATTCATTTGTCCTTCGTGCTTTGTTAACTTAGTTGCTATGATGGCAAGAAATTGTCAATTACTGAACAACATCACATATTATGAATTTCAACACCCTGCTGAGTGCGTGGAGCCTCTATATTACTAAAGCGAATGAGGTGACCAATGAAAGCTTAAAAACCAAAAGCCAGAGTGTGGATTTCACACTCTTATATTCACCAAGATTAATATATTCATTTCCTTCATTGGTTGCAATTTGAACTCTTTAATTGGGAATGTCCTCAACTTTTTATGGGTACACTCTTATTATTGTGAAAGTTGTTATAAAAGTTGATAACTCAGGGTTATGATAGAGTTGGCAAAAACCAACGTACGAGGTTCAAGAGATTCGAAATATGAAGAGTTTGTATGATAAGTTCTTCAAAATTGAAAAGGAAGGCATTAATTCAGTTACTGTTCTTCATTTGTTCTCCCTCCATTTGCCACTGACTGCAAGTTTTGTGCAATGAAAAGGAAGGTATTAATTCAGTCACTGCTTGCAGCTTTCAAGCTTTCAATAACGGTATAACCACCTCCGTCATCTCAGTTGCACTTGCAGCAAAGGCAAATTAATATTTCTCATTAAAATCAATAAATTCTTTGAGTTGAGGTTTAACCAAAAAACAAATTTTAATCAATTTTTTTTTTCTAAAACTTTCAGGATCAATTACGTGCTCTTGACATGATACAGAATGATCTGGAACTCTCAACCTCTTAAATTTTTGGGTGATATTATATGGAAATAAGTATATTTAGAATGATCTAAGCAGTTGCTTTAATTTTACAGTATTCTTAAAATTTTGCAAACAATAAATTATCTTGAATCTTAACTTTAAATTTAATAAAATTGCATTAGTAAATAAAAGAATCGATGAATTTGAATAATTGTACTATACAATCTTGGAATAAAATGTACTAAAGTATGGGAAAAAATAACTAAAAGGTCATTTTGCTTTTGAATCAGGTTATGAAGAATCTTGTAACCAAGAAATCCATGTTATGCATCATTTTTTGACATCCAAAAATTATAAACTATAAAATATTAAGAAAAAAGACAACAAGTTAGTTACATATCCAATTTAAAAGCATGAAATATATTAAGATAAATAAGAAAAATATAATTACCATTATTTTGACGGATAAGTTTGACGATCATGACCTCGCTTGTTTACATAATTCATAATGTATTGTAGCTCGATCTTCCCAAATTTCCATCTTATTCCGAATGCGAGTAGATTTTGGACTTCCTTTGTTCTTTTATCGACAATCATGATCGGGACATAATTTTGGAATGCTAGTTTTTAGCCAATAATCTTGATGAATAATATGATGAAAACGTGGCACCTATGTATGAAAATGCTTTTGCATATTATAATATTTATCAATAAATTGCCAACTATCAAGAATCAATCTTCCACACACTCGTTAATACTTGAGAACATTAAAATTTATAGATTTTTCATTTACCACATGAGCATTTACCATTATCTAGTCGAACAACTTATTTATTATGACCTCGCTACATTTGTTCATCATAAGATGTTGTTATTATTTCAAAGATTCATTTATTCTCATTAAATGGAATATGTTCATATGCATTAGCCATGCTTAGCTTTGCATTAAGCTTTGCTAGGATATGAGGAGCATAAATTTTTCCTTCATCAACGACTTCTTTTGAAGTCGATAAAATGTTAGTTGCACACATGCAATGATAGGCAAATTATGAGCTTCTTTTAATACACTATTAAATACCTCAAATAAATTCGTTGTCATCACTCCATACTATCGACCTCTATCATATACTAATGTCTATTTCTCTTGAGAAATTTCTTCTAGCCATTTTTAAGCCTCTAAATTAGATTTTCCAATCCCATCCATAATAGCATTAAACTTCCTTACTTGTTGTCAACTCCCAACTTCATAAATACATAAATGAGTGGAATTTTAACCTTTAACCTCTAACTTCACATGGATTTTTGAAATTTAAAATTTGTGCACTCTTTGCTATTGATTCTAAATTACAATAAATTAAGCTTTAAAGCATTAAAATTTTCTCTTCCAGGAAGAATAATCATATTTTTCTCCTTCGATTTTCTCACTAACATTTATGTTAAGTTCAACGCATCTAAAGTCATTCTTGATATATGATTCCATCCGGAGACTAGATCAAAATGTCCAACAAGGAAAAAGGAAAGCCAAAAAAGCTATAGCAAAAGATTATACATTGGTTATAATAGAAATTAGCACTTCCTAAAAGCTTTAGACTAAATCTTATGAATCTTCCTATATGCCAATGCAAGTGAAAACTTAAAGTGGTTATAAGGCAATAGATTTATTAGGGGTGATCATTTGGTTTTGGTTTTTTTCGATTTTCGATTAACTCGAATTGATTAAAACAAAAATCGAAATCAAATTGAATTGAGGTTTAGTCTTTTGGTTAAAAAACTAAAATTTTTTCTTTGATTTTTCGATTTTTGATTAAATTTTTTTTTTAAAAACTTGGTAAAATGATCCCGTATAATTGATTTGGTCTTCATTGGGTTCCTCTTCATTCTCCTATCATCTATAGCACTTCCTATCAATAAATCAATTTTTTACATCCTATCAATAGAATTTCTTATTTTTATCATTTTATATATGAAAACATCTTGAAGTTGCTAAAATTGGGAAGAACAAATCACCGAAATTGGGAGAGTAGTATTTTTTACAAGGCCATAAAAAATTATTCTCAAATTTCTTTCCTATTCCATTTGCAGCACTTCATCATCATGATGTTTCCAACCATGAATGATCCGGATGCGTGGAGACCTTAGAGGGGTAATTGAGCTTGAGTTCCGAAATGGAAGCTATAAAGGAAGGGAACAAGTTTGCTCATTTTTTCTACCTTTTAACAAGAATGTGTGTTATTTATAAAATAAATAAATAAATAAGTAAAAATAAAAATAAAAATGTGTAGAGGGGTATTGACTTGCTAGATTATGCCAAGTAACGAACTCTAAAATTCTTCATCTTTACCGCACTCAATTTTATCCCGATTGAAACTAGGCTCTCATTGTAAATCATAATTTGGCAACATGGACTAGTTCTTTGGAATTCAAGATCCATGATTTCTTGGCTGATAGGGCTAGACAATATTAGTCCTTTAATTTGGGATTCAAGAAAAACTTCGCCACTCTTCCAACACTCGATTGCATTTTCAATCCTTAAAAGAGGTCCAAAAGTGAACTCGTTTTATCAAACAAACCTCATTCATCATCCAAATGTCTAGAAACTTCGAATCTTGTGAACAAGGAACAATGTGATTGAGTCAACGTACAATCCAAATTTCTAAATGGTCAGGTTATGAGTGGAGGAGGAGAAGGAGAAGGAAAAAGAGGCGAAGAGTTAAGGAAGCTCGAAATCATGAGGAAGATGGGGATTAGGGTGTCCGTGGGAAGATCTAAGGCCCGAGGAGGACCGGAGTCCGGAGGAGAAAGATGGAGAAGGAGAGGTGGCTCAAGTGGATGTGGTTATTTTCGGTAGGTCGGACTAGGTGGTGGGCAAGAGCTAAGAAGTTATGGTTGTGGTCGTGTGTGACAAGCGGGAGGATTTTTTCTTTTAATGGCGGTGAGTGGTGAGGAGGGTTCTCACTCGTCTAAGGGACTAAACATTAAAAGAGTAGTTGAGTAGGGGCTATTTGATAATTAAAAAAGTCGGTTTCAAGTGGAAACAGAATTAAAAAAAAAATGAACCGAACGTAAATAATTTTGGTTTTTGATTTTGGTTTTTTAAAAATAAAATTTGAACAAAACCAAACCAAAATTGCTAATTCATTTCGGTTCGATTTGGTTTTTCAATTTTAACCAAACAAGTGCTCACTACTAAATTTTATTCACATTATGTAGAAACTAAGGACTTGCATTCTTGATATGCTATCTTGAGTGCCTAGAGCTTAACCACGTGTTTCATGATTTAATAATGCATAATTATAAAAATATTCAGCTTATAAGATGAGATGTTGATAATATGCAACAATGACTACCACAACACTTTCCCTTATTACAAATTGTTTACGTACACCTACGTTCATGCAAGCATTTGCATGCACTCGCACACATTCTCACAAAATGCTATAATCATTAATTTCGGTGCTACTATTTTTATTTCCTTGTAATGGGAGTAACTTAAGAAAGCATATAATGTAGGCTCGGATAAATTTTCAATAGAATTTCTACTTTAAGAATCACATAGGACTTTTAGTAACATAATAAAAGTTTTTGTTGTTATATTTAAAAAATTCTCTTAGTGAAATTAATTTTAATTTCACTCAACCAAACACTCACTTATATAGACAACACACAATCGTTCCAACGAAGTGTAAATTAATTGTAATTCTTAACCAACGGACACAATTCTATTATATTACAATTTTTGACTAATAGATACAACTCTTTTAAATTGTATATAGATACAACTCTTGTGAACGGATATAGGTTTTGAATAGACACTTTTTTGTCTTACAAGAAACTATATATATATGAAGGCTATCGCTTTTTCTTATGCATCCCTAAGAACTATTTAAAGTCAAAACATTTTAGAATATTTTTTATTTATTTAGATAATCTTTAATCCTATCACATTCATATGCTTATTAAATCTTTCTAATGATAACCCTTTTCTAAGGATTCTGCTATCACATTTTTTGAGAATATGTTGACATTTGTCGCTTTCTTTTCAACTATATCTTGTATAAAATAAAAACATACATCTATTTTTTCTTCCTTTAGATCTTGTTGTATAATTCTTTATTAATGATATGATTGCCTTGTTCTTGCAAAACACATTTATGGGCCCAAATAATTCTTTAATTTTTTTTAACTTTCATTAAAGTGCTTAATCCAAACCATTTGTGTGATCTGTTGTACTATAGGCTACATATTCAGCTTCCATTATATGTCTTTCTTTATAAGTTTTTTTTTTTTTTTTTACTTGACCATGATATTGCGCCTCCTTCAAGTAAAAATATATTACTTGCAGTGAATTTTCAATCACCGGATCTCTTGCTCAATTCGTATATGAATAACCATGGATTTTTAAGTCATTGTACCCAAATATATAATTTGGTTTGCTTCGTATATTGAATGTATTTAAAGATTCTTTTAATATCTTACTAATGATGTTTGTTAGGATTTGCTTGAAATTGACTAATGAATTCAACCACATAGATATATCTTGTCTACTGCTAGTCATGGCATACATTAGACTATCTACGACTTAAGAATAAGGGAAATTTTTCATGACTTTAATTTCATCATTACTTTTTGGACTTTGTGACTTTTCAAGAATCAAATCTTTGCATATTAGTGTAGGTATTGGCTTTCAATTACTCATATTGAACTTTTTCAATACCTCGCTTAAGTACTTTTCTTTCTTTAAGTACAATAGTTTTGATTTCATGTAATTTGTATGCCTAAAATAAAAATACATATCTCTATTTTTTCATTTCAAATTTCTTATGTTAAAAAGTTTGGTTGTTTCTATCATCTCAATATTATTGCATGTAAGTAGTAGTCGTCTACATACAATGATAGTATGACTAAACTTTTATATTGTTTTTATAAATAGACATAACTATATATGCATATAGTTGACTTCATATTCAATTTCTAATACTACTTTATAAAAAGTTAAAAACTATTATTTAGGTTACTATTTTAAGTCCTAAAAGGATTTATTTAATTTATAAGCTTTATCTTCAAAATTTGAATCCCTTTGGTAACTCTCCAATTAAGAAAGCCATTTTAACATCATGTTGAATCAATTCAAGATCTAACTCATAAACTAAGGTCATTATAATTTGGATGGATACAAATTCTACAACTAAGGAATATGTATTTTCATAATCTACTCTAGGTTTTTACATATATCATTTTGCAACTAATTTAGTCTTATATTTTTCAAATTTTCCATCTAACTTGAGTTTCTTTTTAAAAACTACTTACATCTAATAGGTTTTCTTTCTTGAAATAAAGCTACTAATGTCTAAACATTTTTTTTCTCAATTGAATCTATTTTCTCATTTATAGTAATTTTTCAATGAGTTGATTCATCCGAGGATATAGCTTTGTCATAATTATGTGGGTCCTCTACACTTTATTTAGTAAAGGATTAATAATCCCAAAATATTGATGAATGCTTTATCTCGTTTTTTTCTCCCATTTTTTATGATATTGTTATCAATTTGTTTTGTAATTTCTTGAGATACAATCATGGGAATACGTTTATAAAGTTTATCATTTAATATTTCTTGCTTCTTATTAATGTCAATTCTTTAGAAAGGGCAATATACTTTACATCTTCTATAAAGATAATGCCTCTACTTTTTGCCTAGGTGCAACATTAGGGGTCTAATGAATGCTTGAAAAAATATGATAATAGAAAGGAGTTCACCTAGTGTTGGAGAAACTAGGAAACTCAAATAATTAGTGTATATAGAATTCTAAACAAAAGGTTAGCTATGGATAGAGAAGACCAAGATCACCATTACCATGTCCTAAATAAGATAGGCTATATAGCATACATGTTGAATGCCAATGTCTAGTCTTACTATGCAATAAGTCTATGTATATCTAAGAGTCTTTTTCTTTAGATTGAAAATGTTTGATAGAGTGACTTTGAGAATTAAGTCGGTTGAAGGCATGTTTCAAGGATCATGCATTCTATAGAGGTATGAAATAAAATAAAAAATTTTCTCCATCTAAAGTTTTCAAGATCACATCATTGAATCAACTAATCATATATACATGATTTGAAGCATAAATAAAGGATTATCTCTTATAGTGTAGAATTTAACCCTTGTAGAAAAGGAACATGTTCAAGTTTCTAGCCTCTATCGATAATCCGCACAATCCAAGCACCCACATAAGAAGCACTCAAAATCAATAGAGTGCTAGCTTCATATTTTTTGGCTTGTTTAGTTTTTTCTTTAAAAATCTATTTAGTGATATTTTACGACAAAGATAAAGGGGAGAGGTGGTATGTGTGTGTTAAAGGGAAAAAACAACTATTTTTTTCTTACTTTTCCTAGCAAGCCATATAACCCTAGCCTTAGTTCTTCTTTCGTCACACCTCTCCTTCTATTTATCGGGGAGAGGCTTCCTTGTCCTTCAAGGATAAGGAAGTGGTGATAACTTATCCCCATCCAAACTCCAAGTTGTTACTTTCTAATCCTCCAAGGATTAAGAGTTATTATAGATGTAAGTTTTTGATCTTATCCTCTTAAACCTTGATCTTTATCTAATAAGGCTCATATTTATCCTTTCATTAAAATATCTTTTAGGCTTTTGAATTAAACCTATTGACCTAAACTATTTTGACCTAATTAATTTGAATTATCCAAATAAATAAGGTTAAATATTTTCTAAAGGCCAAATTAGGAAATAATTTCTTAAATTACCACTAAACCTAAATTAGGAAACTAATTTCCTTTTTAGGTAATTTACTTCCAAATTTGGAACTCGACTTCCAAATTGAGAAACTAATTTCTAAAATTAGAAACTTTTCATTTTCAAAAACCATTTTCAAAATAAGAAACTTTCAAATTGGAAACCTTTTTTCCAAAATCATTATTTCTCTTTTATTATGTGAATGCTTAAACTTATGTATGTGACTCAATAAGCTCCAAGATATATTAGTAAAGTATTAAAAACAAAAGACATTTTTGTTATCTCTAGATACATAAATCATAATTAACCTCTTGTAAGGCATCATGGCTATCTGATTTTTAGAAGGATTAATTAATCCGTAGTTACCTTTCATGAATATAGTTACCATACAGTTCAATCCTCATGTTAATTTATCATAGTGTGATGTCAAACTTGATTATTAGTCTATTCAATTATGACCATATAAGTTTCTTCGATTCTTAAATGTCTTAACTCTTAGAAGAAACCAACTATGTTCTAGTAGTGTACTCCGGCTACGACCATAGATTTCTTGAATAGGTATTTATTGAAGTGCAATGTGATAACTCCTTTAGAATACAAGTAATGATATGTCTTATCTCGGTCATCTACCTAGCTCCATTAGATTCCTATGCATCCAACAAATCACCTATGTGCAATCCTTTATTGGGTCCATTAAAATAAGTATCAAAGTGCATAAATCCTCTAATAAGATAATTATTATGATTTCAAGTCAAAGGATTAGTTGTACCCATCTCATATGAGATTTCTATAGACTAAACCAAATGGATTCTCATGGCGACTCAAGTCTAATGATATGTTATCTAACATAAATAACCTAGATGCTTGCTTTGGTATCACCATGCCAATAGGTGTGAGATCTCCTATTGCTATCTTATAGTATGAGCATAGCACTCACAAGTCTAACCACATATAGTCAATGTCTATTCTTGACAATTCTACTCCAATGATTTTAGTTGCTTAGTAACTAGGGGTATTCATCATAAATTTTTACTTTTATATTAAGTGGCGATTCAAATTATGAGTTTGCAAAGCACTCTAAGTTGATGACTTGCTAAG